AGGAAGTTGGGAGAAGACTGATTTGCTATCAAATTTATTTGCTTATGCTTTCTGTGATATTTATTTAACTCTGTGAGGACATCGAAAGCCTAAATTTAAAAATGCTCACTACATAAGTGGTCATTTTTATCAAGTGAGGTTTTTATCAGTAGGCAAAAAATGCGTTTTTTTAAAGCAGGAACCCTGGTGTGCCTGAAATATCATGGGAGTATACTCCAACGTAATAAATATTACAATTCCAATATTATCTGCCCATACTACTCGCTGATACAGCTGCTGTCAGGGCCCGAGAAATGAGGCCTAAAGCAAAGGCAGAGCAGCACAAGTGAGTTCCGTTAGTGGTCGATGAACGCGCATCAACGAGTGTCAATTCCACTAAAGCAGATATTCTAAACGAAAAACGCATTGTAAAATAATTATTTACATTGTATGAGATCGCTCACTGACGGTAGATGGCAACAGCTTTCTGCGAAATAAACTAGCTCTCAGGCCTGAAAAAGAAAGACTCCCGGACTACGCAATGACAATCCCTGATTACTTTCAGCTGTTGAAATTAGATAGTTACAAAATGTTCACAAGCCAAAGGGGTAGTAAGACGGAACAAATATTGCCTACCTTCAAAGAAGACTTTAACCGGCGTTCGATACAATCCATAAATACCTGTCGTGGAAGGTCGGATGGACAACGACTACTACAGGAAACTATTCCTACACACAATCGCAATTTCCAAGTGACGCAAATATGGTGTCAAGCGCAAGGCAGTGTAGCGGTGCTTCGAGTTGACAATACTAGGACGAACAGACACAAACACCTACCTGACTGGCCGGCGAAGTCTGTCTTCAGGAGTTTAATCATGGTTAAATAGGTTGAAGTGAGTGTACCAGGCCGGAAGAACACCTGTTAAATGAACAGAGGAAAAGGATAGACTTAGTCAAGGTCCCAAGGTCGGGGTGAACCATTCTCCTTTCAACCTATAAACCATTGAAGACAATAAAGGGCACACAGACATGCCTTGTAGTTCAGATTGGGCCTGTTGTAGCCAGTTCTTAGGACAAGACAATTGTCCTGTGACAGACCCAGCATCTTCTGTACATCGAGCACCACCTCAGCGGAGGCAGTGGCCGTGAGGCCCAGAATAGGAGCGGAGGGAAACTGGGTTTTGAGGACATGGAGAAATTTGTAATCGGGCCGAAAGTCGTTGCCCCATTGGCTCACACAATGAACTTCATCGATTGCAATCCGAGCCAGCCGTCCACGACTAAATGCCTTTTCCAGTCTGTTCATCAGTCTTTTTGACTTGGACAACTTCTCTGGCGTGACGAAGAGTAGCCGAATTGTGGATTGTTTATTCTGTAGGTGTGGGGAATAGAGACAGGGACTGTAAGCATACAACTGAGAACTGGGTCAGCACAGCTAGGAGACCGTGAATCGGTTGATCAGACTAAAAATGGGCACAATGACACTTTTCTGGAAGTTATAGTGCCACGGTGACAGCCAGAGTAAACGATGAGGCCGAGAGAGGAAACACAAGTGACAGCGAGATGCGACGCACGCACAGCGGCACAAGGAAAAAAACAGCAGCATAAAAACCAGAACCATGAGCTAGAGTATTCATTCTCTGAAGATGCGTAGACGAGACAACTACCCGAAACGTAAGATACAGAATAAACTAACCTTCATGGACGCTTTTTCTTATTCTTACTACTGAGTACTTTTCAGTAGCGTGTATTTATAGCATTTAGTTACTGTGTCCACAGCTGGCAGTTGAAGACAACTG